CGCCGACACGAACCGGGCCCTCGGTTAATATGAACATCGGTCCTGTGACCGCATGGACCGCGGGTCTCGTTATGACCGCGGAGGTGACCTGGGCAGCCTTCGCCGGGACGTTTAGAGAAAGAAGATTGTTTTTAGAAATTAAAAAGCATGTGAACTCGTGATTCATTCGATCCAAACATCAGGTTGTTCATTGTCATTTTACAAAGATGAACATCCCAGCCCGGCCGAGGTTTCCTTCTTCACGTGCGCCGTCTGTTACACCTGAAGGCCACCCTGCCAGGCCCCGCGTGGCCCTGTCCCTCCGGGCCTTCCCTCTGAGCCTCACACGGCACCCTCGTCCCCAAGCCCCCAGCGCAACCCTGGCTCCTGTTTCCCCAGAAGCCACCCCTCCCTCTCCCCTCGCCGGCCGAGGACAGACAGCGGACAGCGAGGTCCATGCTGCTGCGAAGCCGTGGTGTCGTTTATGAGCCGTGCGGCCCCCGGGAGCTGCGGCTGCCTGCCTCAGCGCCCACGCCGCTCCCACAGAAGCACACGCATTTTTGCGGTGCGCTGGTGGGCTGGGTTTTGAAGATTAAATGAAAAAAGAGATGAAGCACCCAGAACAACAATAAAAAAAAAAGAATGTAAAAAAAGTGCCCTGGCTGGCATAGCTCAGTGGATTGAGCACAGGCTGCGAATCAGGCATCGCAGGTTCGATTCCCAGTCAGGGCACATGCTTGGGTTGCAGGCCACAGCCCCCAGCAACTGCACATTGATGTTTCTCTCCCTCTCTCTCTCTCTCCCTCCTTTCCCTCTCTAAAAACAAATAAATAAAATCTTTTTTAAAAAGTGATGAGGCATCCCGTGGAATAGCTGTTCAAAAAGTTTCGTCCCCTTCCCCCAGGCCTCCTTTGTCCCCTTTAAATACACCTGTGTCAACCCTCACCTCCTAAACCCTGTTCTTCCTGCAGGACTCAGCTCAAGGGCTACCTTTGGTTTACTGGGCAGTTATGTGGGGCTCTGTCTGTGGGCCCAGGGTGCTGCCCAGGGCGGGTACGGCGGCCCGGGCGTCGGGGAGAGCCTGCCCCTCCGGGAGGGGCACCTGGGAGGGGAGACGGAAACCAAGCAGGGGAAGAATTCCACGGGCAGCTCGTGGTCCGAACTGCTGAACGGGGTGACCTGCGGGGAGGAGCTGAGGGGAGGCAGAGGCCGCTGTGGGGCTCACCCCTGAGCTGAGCGCAGGAGGAAGGCGAGGCCCAGCTCCTGGCAGCCTTAGGGAGAGCCTCCAGGGCTGGGGCAAGAGCAGGGCAAGGCCTCCTGCCCCTCGGGGGGCACGGGGCCCTGGGGAACCGGCAGCCTCTGCACCCCACCCGAAGCACGGGGCAGGCAGGGGGGTGCCTGCCTTCCTGTCGGCTCCCCGGAAGCCCCAGAAAACGCCGTCTCAGATCCGTGTTCAGGCCTCCCTGTGGTGTCCCTACGTGGCTCTCTGCTCTGGCTGCGAGGGGTGCTGGGCGTTGGGCGCCCACGTCTGGGGGAGCGAGCTGGTCGTGGAGCCTTGGCGACCTCGTGGGCGGGTCCCCGGGGACTGCAGACACAGGCTGAGTCACTGTCACACTTGGGAAGTTAATGACAGACGCGTGCGAAATCACAGTGGAAAGTGCCGTGGCCGGGCCGCCGACAGACAGCGCGTGGGAAATGCCAGCCTTGACGCGTTCCGTGGCAGCCTGGCGGCTCGGTCTCACCTCCTCTCCTGTTTACGCCGCGGCTTCGGGAAGGACAAACAGGGCGTCCCGCTGCACGGGCGGTGCTGTCAGTCCCTGCACCCTGCCCAGAGGCGGCGGGGGGGGCCCTCTGATCCCCTTCAGGCAGGACGGAGGGACAGCACCGCCGTCCTTCCTTCCCTTTAAGAGCCGAGCGGTGGTTTCTGCCCCGTGGGCTTCAGAGCCTCTGCCCTGGAGCTGCACCCGTTGGCTTTGCCCGGGCTGTGGGACCCGGCCTGCCATCATGCCCACTCCTGAGGCTGCTGCCTGTGAGGGGCACAGACCCCGAGGAAAGCGGGACCCCCTGGCACAGTGCGGGTGCTTCTGTCGGCATCGCCTTCCTGTGCGGAATAAACAAACCCATCAGTGCCCCCACGTGGGTGGTTTCCACGGGGACAGAAAGACAGTGCTTTCAAAGGTCAGGGGCCGGGCCGCTGGGGCTGCCGTTGCTGGGACGGAGGAGAGTCAGAGACCCCCCCCCCCGCCCCGAGTGCGGGTGTCGCCCCGGCCCCTGCCGGGTGGGCGCCCCAGGGAAGCACGCAGCCTGCCTGGGTGAGCCGTTGCTGCTCTCCTGCCGCGCCCACAACACCGGTTCTATGCGCTCTATGGTGACAGCTTGTACTCGTTTAACTACTTACTATATGCCAGACTCCATAGCAATGTGCATCTGGGGAAACTGAGGCGTAAGAGGTTAAGGTCTTGGCTGAGGTGGTTCAGGTGCCGTTGGGCCGAGCCGTGTCCCTCAGGCTGGGCAGGCTGTCCCACGGGTCAACGTCATCACCTCTGGGTGTCCTTGCCTTCTCTGTACGTTCTTCTGTCGTGACATTTGTCCCCGTGGACCACAGCGGTGGCCTGGCTCTCTCCCTGCTGATCTGTGTGACCCGATGGCCCCAGCGCGTGGCCCAGGAGGCCGGCTCTTCCTGGGGCTTCCGTCGAGCGGTCCTGCGGGCTGGGCCCCGTGAGCTGACGCGGCGAGCAGCCCCGGCAGACGCCCCGTGTTTGCCTCAGCAAAGCCCTGCAAGGACGCCGGTGTGGGCCCCTATTCCGGAGGGAAACACGGAGGCTCCAAGATGCTGTGTGGCCTGCGCACGGCCCCATGCAGAGCTGAGCCCGGGGCGGGGCCCCAGTGCCTCCGAGATGGTCCTTCAGCAGACAGAAGCAGCAGGCTCTTGGGTGCCCCTTCCTTCTCTGATGAAGAAATGCCTTTCGTCTCTAAGGAGATCGTTTTCCTCGGCCATGAAGCAGATGCTCCCGCAGTCATCAGGAGGAAAACTGGGGTGCCTTGCCCCTTGCCTGGTCAGACTGGCTGCCAGGAGTTGAGGGCGCAGTGGGGGGGGCAGGGTGGGGAGGGGGAGGCTGCTGCAGGGCGTCCAGAAAGGTTTCCTATAGGTTTCTCTGCCCGAGGAAGGCAAGGCAGTGCGCTGGGACCCCCCGGAGGTCTGGGGCCGGAGAGCTTGCCCGATGCGGGGTGCCCTCCCTGCCCGCCCCCTTCCACGCTGCTGCTTGTGCAGGAGCAGGCCTGCCCCGAACCTTCCCGCGCACGCACCCCGCGTGGTTCTCTGACTTACAGTCTTCCGAGCGCGCTGACTCTGCCTGCCCTTTCCGCGCGGTGCGGGCTGGCGCGTGGGCAGATACACACGGCGGCTTTTTTTTTCGTTCCATCTTTCAAAGGCCACACACTTGGAAGATTGATGTTTGAGAAGAAAGATTACGTTTCAAAGGAAAACACGCGTGTAAAGGGGTCAGCTGCCGAGCAGTAGGTAACGGCGGGTTTGGGATCGTGGTATTTCTCCAAATATTCCGTGGTTCTTGATGTTTTTGCCAAACAATCTCAGAGGCAACGACAGTGTTCTCACACACCTTAGAAAATGTAAACAACTGAGGAAACATCTTAGAAACGTTGCAGTGAAAAGTGCAAAACACCATTCAGCCTTAACGGACGCGGCGCCCAGCCGGCCGGGGACCTCAGCAATAAAGGGGGGAAGCCCAGGGCTTCGGGTCTGGAACCCACGAGGGGCCTTCCGAGTCGGTGCCCACAGAGCCGAAGGCAGAAATGGCAATACTAACCGCTACCTCTGATGAGTGGTGAAGTGATCAAAGCCGTTCACCTACCTGCTCACCTCCACAGCGCCCCCCCATGGCCGGACGTGCTCCCCGACGCGTGCAGGGAGCAGGAGTCCGCAGGGCCCCGCCTGCCCTAAGGCAGACGGATTCCGGCTCAGCTCTGCCCTGGGCTGGGCGGGTGCAGCCTTGTGCCTGGAGGTGGCCTCAGTGGCGGGCCCCTCCACCTGCCTTTTCCTGGAAATGGCTTGCCCTTGACGTTGAGAGGCGGTCGGACTCTGACTGGCTCCTGTGAGCTGGGGGGTCCAGGGCACGTGTCCATGGCTAAGCTATTAAGGAAGTGGGTTTTCAGCACACTGTGGGAGCCAGGCCTGTCCCCACTCATCAGCATGAAACTCCCCCCGGCAGGATTTATAGAGATCGGGGCGGGCGGCGCTCTGCGTCCTCAGAAGCGTTTCCCCGGATGCGCCCTTCGTCAGGGCTGGGGCGCAGGGAAGTCCCAGCACGGCCTCGTGCGGTCGGGGAGGGGGGGGCTCTGAACCACAGCCCGGTGGTCTGCTCCTGAGCTGTCCTGGGGGCAGAAAGAAGATGGGCTCTGTAGCACTTTCACCAGGATAAAAAGTGCTTTCAATTATTAATTGTCATTACCGGTATGTCCCATTTGTTGAGTGTGTATTGCATGTTGGGAACTGGGCCAAGGGCTCTGTGTGGCAAGTTCGTTTCAAGGTCATGCCATCGGGTAGAGCCACGTGCTACTTCCGGTCCCCACGTTGCAGACAAGGACGCTGGGAAGGCGAGGAGGAAGTGACTAGCTCAGGGCCGAGCAGGTGCACAGTGGCCGGGCTCCATTGGCTCTTGGCCGTGAAGCAGGTGCCTGTGGCTGGGAGGCCACAGCTGGGAGACTGAGGGGGGAAGGGCTGCCTCCGAACCCCACCTTAGAACCAGGATCTCGGGGTCCCAGTCCTGCCCCCGCCCCCAGGCGTGAGCTGAGTGATACTGAGCAAGTCACTTCACCTCCCTGCATCTTTCTCCGTGAAAGGAGGGACGGGAGGACATCCAGGGGACAGACACGTCACGGCCCCGTCCATCAGACGCTCCCACCCACCTGCGTCCAGCTGCGTGGTCCCCTGTCCTGGAAGCGCGGGCTGTCTGTGCCGGGTGGGTGTGAGCTCAAGCTGTCCTTTCTCTCTTGTTTTGCAGGTAATGCGCCAAAAAGATCATGTCTGAAGTACAAGGAACGGTTGAGTTTTCTGTAGAGCTCCACAAGTTTTATAATGTGGACCTCTTTCAGAGAGGGTGAGTCCGCTCCTCTATTTGTGTTTTGTGGGGGGGGGTGCGTGCGTGTGTTTCCTCCGGGCGGGGGGCGGGGTGGGGCTGCGGGGGTGGAGAAGGGAGGACAGGTTCCGGGAACGGCAGGACCCATGGAAACGGGACGTCCATTATTTTTCCTGCCAAGTGGAAAATCCAGACCTCTAGTGCATTTACAAATACGCCGTATACGAGAGACTAGAGATGCTAATTTCTCTCCTCCTCCTGCACTTTCTCCTGCCTTTTCTCTTCGTAGTTGGTCTGTCCCCTAAAGCTGTCAGTCTGTGTTAGGGGGAGTGAATTCATCGGAGATGAAGCTTGTTGAGTCCTGATAAGCTGCTCTCTCAGAAACCGAGAGTTGACAGCGTCCTCTTGCAATACACCGTGAGGACAGTGGCGTCCAGTTTGCGAGGGCGTCCTCTGAACTTGGCCGGTCCACGCGGGATCCCAGTGGGTTCGCACGGTAGACTTACCTCTCAGGGTCGTTGCAAGTAGCAACAAGGACACGGAATGGTTGCAGATGGCACCTAAACGCAGCCCAGGACTCTGTCCTCACGTGACTGCGGCCCTTCCCCCAGGTACGGACCAGGAACCCGCGCTCACAGACGCTGTGTGAGGTGTGCGCGGTGAGGGAGCAGAGCCGTAGGCGCCCGTTGGCTTGTTTTCGCTGCGTGACAAATGACTCTAACCTTAGAGACTGGACACGGTGACTTTGGGTTTAGCTCCTGATGCGCGTAGGTGACCTGAGCTGGGCTCAGCCTGGAGGTCCCTTCTGCGGAGCTGGACCAGGTCTCAGGTGATCTCTGCCGGGTGCGCTTAGGGTGGGGGCTGTCAGCCGGGGGGCTGGGGTTCTGCCCTCTGCGGGCTCTCACTGTCCAGCCGGCTGGCCCGGCCCGTTGCTCTGCAGCTGGGCCCCGAGAGCGAGGTGGGAACGCACGCAGCCCCTTGTAGTCTGGCCTCAGGACCAGGGTCACGCCGTTTCCATGGCCTTCTGTGGGCCAGAGCCAGGACAAGGCCAGTCTGGACTCCAGATCGGGAAAAGGACGCCATCTCTTGATGCAAGAGGAAGACTGTGTGTGCGTTTATCTGCCACGTTGAGTTTCAAAGGGACTCAAAGTGTTCTGAAATGAAAGCTTCGAGGGCCTCTTACGTGTCTGGGTACAGAAGACCGACTTCGGTGGCGCCGAGTCCTTCGGGCGGGTGGCCTGCGTCACTAGGAAACAGTCTGGGGCCAGGTGCGTGCTCCAGGGGAAGGGCGACGTGGGGGGTTCTGGGCGGGGCTCTGGAGACGGACGCTGACCTGGCAAAGCTGTGCATCTCTGGACACCCATCGCCCTTGGTCCCGCCCCCTCTCTCGGCCAGAACTCGGGTGGAGTGGCGAGAAGGGCCTGGACTTGGGGCTGGACCGCCTCAGTCCTGGCTTGGCTCCTGCTTCTTGGTCATCTCCCTCCGCTCTGCTCTCCGGGTTCCACATTTGTTTAAAAAAAGGAAGCATTTTGATAATGTCATGGGTCTGTCATAGTGTTAGACACTTCTCTGTTCATTGTCTCCTGACACCTTGTCACCAGCCGTAGGAGCAAGTGGTATCACCTATATGGTGCCGGGCAGGGGACCTGGGACTGGGGCAGCGAGTGGCAGGGACACGGCCCTCACGGAGCAGACGTGGGGTCCGGGCCTGGGCTTCCTCGCCCAGGACCCTGTATCGCTCCTGTTCCGTGAGGCTGGGCTCTGAAGTGGACTGCGCCCTCCCCAGGCGTGCACAGTGTGTCCATCTGCAATCGTCTTAGCCAGAACTCAGCGGGAAGTCAAGCCTCCTTAACAACCAGACTCCCACGTCGTAGCCCCTGGCAGCCTCCTTGAGTCCACACGGCTCAAGGTCACGAGTTCCACTCGGTCCCTCGAGTGCCAAAATAGAAGCAGGTGCCCCGCAGCTTCTAAGTGAGGTCCACTGAGTGGGCTGTGCCCCCTCGCACTGCAGTGTATTGCAGTTGGTGGCCGGCCAGTCACGGACGTCTGTCCGTTGTTTTCTTGTTCTAACTGCATCGACCCTCATGGGGCAGCAAATGGCTCAGAAACAAGCCCTGTAAGAGAAGCATCGTGAGTCGAAGGTAATGTTAATAATGGAAGCGTGGTGGCAAACCCCAGGAATTGGCAGAACCCCACCCATGTTCCCCTTGTCCGAGCCTGTCGATGACACCCACAGAGATGGCAGGACGAGTTCATCAGATCAAAAAATAAGTGGACTGAGCCACTTGGACTCACCGAAACGTTGGTAAATGGATTTGTGACCATCATTATTCATAACACACCTCATCCTACCTGTGGACTGGGGCTTCAGGTGTTGCCTAAGGCTTGTATGAAACCCAGACGTTCCGGAGTGACGCACCCAAAACACGAGCAGACCCCTGTGCCATTGGGAAAGCAGGTTGCAAGGAAAGGATGGAAATCGTGAGTTACTCAGCAGGTCATCATGCTCATCTTCCTAGCTCTGTGTGGTTTGGGAGGCATCGTATTTAGTTGTGCTCACCACTGAACTCTAATAGTGAGTTAGGGAGAATTACAGCCAGAACTCTGAATCACTCACGTGTACATATATGAACAAAAAGATTGTGTGTTGCATAAATTATTTTTTTATAGCATGGATTGTTGCATTTCTTAGCTTTTAAAAGACCTTTTCCTGTGTTTATAGTGCACATTGCACGCATGAGTGGAATTGCACATGCACATGATTTACAAATAAGTACACATTTTGAGGGGCCGCATGCTCAGAAATGGTCTTACCGGTAAACGTGCAAACCATCGAGAGCTGGTGACCCACCCCTGGTCCGTCTGACAGAACAAGGAGGGTGCTCACAAATGCCTCCTCGTTCTTGATGCTGGCATTCCGTGGTGTCGAGGAGCGTGGACATTTAGGGGCATTATGTCCGTGTGGATAAGGACGCACTCTTACGATCACACATGCCCGAAGGTGGGATTCATGGCACCTACGTTCCTAAACCGACCCAGACAGCATTGGGATGGAGGCAGGTGGACCTCTCAGGGGGGCGGAGCGAGTTCTAGGCTCTCTCTCGAAGGTCCCATCGGCAGTCAGATGGTGAGGCTGGTGGTCCCCAGGCCCCTGGGTCCTAGTGCAGACAGCCGTGGACAGGCTGGGTGTGATGCCAGTCAAGAATCTACACCTGTCAGGGGAGCTTCTGACAACAGGCATAATCCTCGATGTTCCAGGGCCAAGGGTTTTTCTGCTCTGAGTCCCCCAGAACAGGAGCCACACTTATGGGGAAACGTGATTGCTTTACCCAGTGAGCTCTCCACGGGGAAGTGACTGCAGCAGCCCAAGCCCCGTGCACAGGGCGGGGCCTGGGTGGAAGGCAGCGGGTGGTCTGCTGATGGCACACACAGAAGGAAGGTGGGAACTGGGGAAGCCGTTCCATTTGGGGGTCATGGGGATGTACGGTTAAGTATGGGCTCCATGGGGTCCTTGGGTGATAGAATCAGAGTTGGGGCCTGCGAAAGAAGGAGAGCACCCTTCCTCAGACTGGCTTTGACCGCGGTCATCCAAGTGCCACCTGGCTTCTCCAGTTGATGACAAATGTCCCCTTGAACGGAGGTCAAGGATGGCCCAGGTGTCCCAGCCCAGGCGGCACTTGGATAGCCCAGGCACCTCAGCTCATTGTCTCCCCGTCTGGCTGAGTAGATTCTTCCCCGGGATTTGTTGTGGGGTGCTGTCTTGGAGCCACGTGGACACCGAACTCAGAGTTTTGCATGAGAATCACCCCGATCGGGAGCCGCTTGCTTGTGGCACATTTATGTTTACCTGTGGGTGGTCTGTCCGGTCCCAGATCGCGTGCCACCTCTCGGTGATGTTTGCTGGGAGCAAACAGTCAACCCGCATTTACCCAAAGTCTGTGTTGACTGAGGCGGATTCTCAGAGGAAAAGCACCTCTTCGAACCAGCCCGCCAGCGTCACGAATTGTCACCCCCGTGCTTGGGCAGCCACACTCACCCTGGCAACAGGCAGGGCCCAGGGGGCCTTGGGGACCCTGGCTTGGGGCTCAGACCTGACTTTGAAGCCAGGATCTGCTACTTACAAGCGCTGAGGATGGGAGGACATCTCTTTAAGACGTTCGGAGCTACCATGTTATCGCCTATAAAGTGGTGATGACAGAGTCTGTCTCAGGGGGTTACGTGCTAAGTGCATTAATTAGTACAGGCGGAGCAGCTGGCATGGTGCCTGGCATCGGGTGGATGCTATCTAAATTGTCACTCCTGTTCTCACTCCTCAGCCCGTGCTCACAGCCTCAGCGGCTCGACCTTGACCTTCTCCCACCTTACTGTCGGTGCTCAGACCCTTGTCCCCCTTCCTCCTAATGTGTGCCATGAAAACTGTGCCCTGCGCGAGGTCCGGCCCCGCTTGAAGCCCTCCCCCCAACTGTTCCGCACATGGCTCTCACTGACTGCATTCAGCCGGTGTTTAGGGATCCCCTTCCCTCTTCCTGGGGCACGTCTGTGTTTGGTTCTGTCATCCGCTCACACGTCCGGTGCTATGGACGCCAACATGTGTCATTGTAGTCGGCTCTGGAGCCGGGACGAGGCAAGGCAGCCTGCCCTTCGAGCGTTTAGCCGCCAGCGAGAAGACAGACACGCCACAGACGGGGCCCAGGATGGGCAGTGCGTTCCGTAACAAAGACGGGTTTGGGGTGCTGGGGGGAGAGGCAGATGGGGGGTCCAATCTGTGGGCAGAGTCAGAGAAGTTGCCCTGGGAGGAGATAGCGTCGGGACTGTCCCTTGTCCCTTGTCGCTTGATGGGTGGGAGCCGGCCATGCAGCAGCCCCGGAAAGACAGGCGCGGACCAGAACGGCTCAGTGACGCCAGGAGGATCGAAGTGAGGGGAAGCGTACAGGTGGGGAGGGGCGGGAGGTGGAGGGTGGCAGCATTTATCCCGGCCTGGCTCTGTTAGACTCGCGATTGCAGGGAGGTTCGTGGCCCAG